AGAGGTTTTATACAGAAATCAGGAGGACGGGTGTAGGAACAGCAACCAATAAGGGAATAGCAGGGGAGGAGTTTAGGGCAGAACTAACATCTGGAAGCTGAGGAGGGGGCTAGAATGAATGACAGGGAAGGTTCCAGGGAAAGGGGCAGGGAAAGGGAGGATTGACCACTTGGAGATGAGGGGGGGGTTAGGGGAGAGCTAGGGAAGACTGACACTGGGGAGAGGAGGAGATTGAGGGGTTGGGGGGGGGAAACAGATATTAAACAAATATTAAATGAAAGAAAAACACACCACCGCAGGAAACCCGTTGTGTACCACAGGGAAACTTAGTCTTAAGTGAGAACTATGTGTAAGGTTTCATCATGACGAAGATGGAAATAGGAAAAAGGTGTGGATAATGTCCAAGATTTTTAAAAAAAAAAAACTGTTTTCCAATTCCCATCTGAGTAGGAGTTGCCTTAGAGCAGTTTTCCTTATCTGCTGTTAATGGCCCCATCAATGCCTGGCCACATGACTCAGAGATAACACTGTGCAGGAGGAGGAGGTGATTAAGGACACACCTTGTGACTCATAATGACCCATTGTGAGATCCTCTGCCCAAGGGGAGGAGCTAGGCATTCCCACCTGGATAAAACTGGAGATTTCTAGACAGAGGGGAGCCTTTTCACAGGTTCTCCGAGAAGACACAGCAACTACATCTGTCATCCCAAGAGGACTGCAGCTACTCCAATTCGGACTGCTACCAGCACGCTGGCCAGGTTGTATTCTGACTTTGTCAGTAGCTTTTCCCTTTGTATTATTGCATGTATTTTTGTCCTTTTCCCCTTTTCCCAATAAATTGTATTTCTGACTTGGAGTCTCTCACTGGTTTTGCTTTCAAACCAGAACAAGGTCTTATATAGTTAATAGATCATATACCCAAATGAGTTTTTCTGGTGGGTTGATGGGAGCTTGGGGGAATCCATCTGTCAATAGGAGATGCAGGCTGATCTCTGAGGTTGTCTTAATACCATCACCGAGTCTATCTTATCTAATTCTGTAACTGTTATTCTGTCCTCTGGGGGAGGTGGGAAGTTGACCCACAGAAGTTAGTTTAGATTACTATTAAAAAAATGCCCATGCATTTTTTGCAGCACTTCCATATCCCATTGCTTGCTTTCAGAAAATTGACCAGCTGACACTGTGATCATCAGGCATGGTCATACAGGGTTCCTTGTTCCTTTCATTGTGTAAATCACTGTAGGGTTTTAAGAAAGAGGAGGAAATGGAATAGTTGAATTCCAGCTTTGTCTTCCTTAACTCTGATTGACATTGACCTAAGGGAGGGAGCCGTGTCCTCTGTCACTTGGGTTGATGGGCTTAAATCAATCTGCTGGCTCTTGTGTTGAAGTGAATAAACTGGAATGGACCTGCTGTTTTCCATCTGAACTGTGTCTTCTCAATTCCCTATTTTCTTGCATCTGACTATGGGAATTTTCTAGTGCAATATTTGCATTGTAGGAGTTTGTTTCCCTTTAATTAACTTTCTACAACGTTCAGCTGTTTTAAAATAGAAAGGAAGAGCTGGAAGATGCTGTCATGATTATAAATACTCCCAGAATAATTTCTTCTGTAAACAAGGCAATGATTCTGTTTACTAAACCAGATTAAGAAAAACAGTCTTCTTAGTGAAGACTTTCTTGGCTACAGAACTTTCTCTCAAACATGGAAAGAAGCCAGGCACTGGGGGATGGGATGGAAAGAAGATACTTAAAGACCATTTGATGTGTCTAAGGGCTGAGTTAGGTACATAAGGGTGTACCCCTGATTGGTTGTTTGGAGCTGGGATGGACCCATTATCACATCTGTACCAGGCTGAGTGTCTTACATAAACACAGAAAGTTGTTATAGATCCCTTATGATCCTGTTTGAAGAATGATGCTGACTTATCTTCTCATGTTTTAATGATTTTTTTTTCCAGGCTGTATGAATATCTTTGTAAATACTTCACAAGTGGAACAATTTCTTTTCCCCTCTGTGAAAAATACTGTTGCTAGTAATTTTTTTGGCTTTTAGTAGATCCTTTTTGAGCTGCTTTTCCTTGAATTTTCTCTGTTTTGTAGCTTGGTCTTGACTCTTCAGCAAGGTTCTTTCTTACACTAAAGTCAGCAAAATCAGCAATTTAATCAGTTGCTGGTTTAGCAACTTCATCTAAAGAGCTGGTTTGTTGTGTTCTGTTTAGTTCAAGTTTGCATTGATTGAATTAGGGAGTAAGGATAAACACTTTAGTGGATATTTTGGCAAACCTTTTCAAAGCAGGAGTGGGTAAAACTACTAATAGTGTAAGGAAAAAACTATTAGAGAGTGTAGTGTCTTTTTCAAGTAAATAATAGCATTACTTAGGTTGGAAAAGATCATGGAGTCCAGCCATTAGCCCTGCACTGCCAGATCCACCACTTAAACATGTTCTCAAGTGTCACACCTAGATATCTTTTAAATACCTTCAGAAATGGTGACTCAACCACTTCCCTTGGCTGACTGTTCCGTGCTTAACAACCCCTTCAGAATTTTTTTTTTCTGATGACTAATTTAAATGTCCGCTGGTGCTACTTGAGGCTGTTTCTGCTTGTCTTGTCACTTGCTGCCTGGGACAAGAGACCAACTTGTAGACCTTGCTACAAATCCATTTCAGGTGGTGTACAGAGTGACAAGGTCTCCATCTGAACTGCTGCTTCTCCAGACACTTCAGCAGCTTTGTCCTTCTCTGGACTTGCTCCAGCACCTCAGTCTCTGTTGTGCAGTCAGGGGCCCAAAACTGAATAGAGGGTTCAAGGTGTAGCCTCACCAGTCCTGAGAACAGAGGAGGGAGTGATCTCTTCCCTCATCTTGCTGGCTATACTTGCTGATCCAGGCCAGGATGTCATTGGTCTTGGCCATGTGGGCATGCACTGGCTCATGTTCAGCCAATGCTGACCAGCACTCCCAGGTTCTTTTCTGCCAGGCAGCTTTCCAGCCACTCTTCCTCCAGCCTGCAGTGCTGCTTGAGGTTGTTGTGACCCAGAGGAGTTCAGCTTAGTCTTGCTTAACCTCCTCCAGTTGGCCTTGGCACATTGATCCAGCCTCTCCAGATCTGCAGAGCCTTTCTGCACTCCAGCAGACCAACACTCCCACTCAGCTTGTTACATGCAAACTGACAGGGTGCACTCAATCCCCTTGCCCAGACCATATATTTTCTTTAAAAACATTAAACAGGACTGAGCCCTGGGAACCCCACTACTAACTGGCTGCCAGTTGGATGTAACTCTGTTCCCCACCTGTGTTTGAGCTCATCCAGCCAGCCCGCTTTTTTCTCCAGTGGAGGGCACACCCATCCAAATCATGAGCAGCCAGTTTGTCCAGGAGAATGCTTTGGGGAATGCTGTCTAAGGCTTTATGAAGGATTTGGTACCCAGAATACACAGCCTTTCCTTCATCCTCTGTGCAGGGCACCCTGTCATACAAGGAGATCAGGCTGGTCAAGCCAGACCTGCTTTTCATAAACCCATGCTGCTGGGCCTGATCCCTCACTTGTCCTGTATGTGTCTTGTCATGGCACTCGAGATTATGAGCCATCTGCTGTTAATGACACATGACTGAACTTGGTAGGTGAGTTTTCCCTCTATTTTTGTAGTTTTAGGGAAAAACTCTTACTGAATTACTGCAAAAATTTAGAGGTTGTTCTAGAAGGTGGGAGTGACTATCGAGAGAAATTTGCAGTGATCCTTCAAGTAGAGTCAAGAGAATTGGAGCTGAAACGTGGCAGTGCTACTTCCCAAAGAGTGTTGAAAGGTTGGAGTTGCAACAGCTGCAGCCTATGAAGTATTTCTTCCAAAATAGAGCAGGATAGCCTGTAGGACGTACTTAAGGTTGATAGATTCTACCTGGTTCATTGTATGGCTTTGTTACTGGTAGGTACTGTTATAAAACCAGGTCTCTAACTCTACAGCTAAATTCTGGTGAAAGATATGAGTGGAGAAGAATAAGGAAGTACTGCTTGTTGCACTCAAGTGAGGTAATCATGACACTGTTAGAGGAGAAGTGGAATAGTAGCAGGCTATACCTGTCAAGTAAATTTCCATGGTAACTTGTGGCTGAAATGGCTATTTTGGACTTTCACAAGACAGCAACAACAGTTCATTCATAGCTACTGAAAAGGCTGCTCACTTGGTAAGATGTGAGCAATATAGGATTTGATTTTCCTTGGGTCTGTCTTGCCAGATACATGAGTTTCTGTTATTTCTCTGCTTTTCTTTTGCTAGACGGTGCAATAAGGTGAAGACTACTTCAAAAATAGACACTTGCTCTGATATTTCTCCATAATTTCACAGGTTCAATAGATGGGATCCTAACCTTTTTTCCTCACTTTGTAATGTGCGAAAATAACGTTTTCCTGTTGCTTGAGCAGTGAAGTTTGACTTGTGTCAGTAGCTGAAGACTGCAGCATAAGCAGATAGTTTCAGTGCAGCTTCAAATGTCAAAACTGGACTTCAGGAACATTCAGTGATCCTAAAAAAGGCAGTAGAAATTTGTGGCAGCTCATACCCTGTTCTGTTTCACCAGCATCAGCCTATCTGCCACCTGCACTGTGCCAGTGTTTGTTTAACTGTGTAATTATGGAAACTGATAGTGTGTGGCACAAGAAACAGGAGAAGTACTGGTACCTATAAAGGCCAGCTGGTTTCTTTGGGCTGCCAGTGGACAGAAGAGTTCTACTCTCACATGGCCTCAGAGAGAACTTAGAGTGAACCCACGCTTCTATGCAGAGAACACACACATGGTAGGTGCAAAGCAGCATTCGGCTTCTGGCACTGGGTCTTTGTGAGAAGCCAAAGTGGAGGGATCACCTATCAGACTTCTGGTGGTAGCAAATGTCTGTAATAATAATAACTTCTCTCTTGTAGGTTTCCAGAAGCTTTTGAGAAAGTTCATGCATTAGTTCATCTTGTGTTTCAGTTTCTTGTTTTGTTTTTCTTATATTTCAGGTTTATCAGTCATGAAACGAATTCTTCTGGTTTTTATCCTGGCTGCTGCTGTTATGTATGGTATCCTGCATGGAAATCTCTGGAGAAATAACTTCTACTGGTATGGTGATGCTTTGTTCATTCAGAGTGCAGACACCTCATGCCTGTATGAGAGATGCGGCTGTGAGTTCTTGTGTTGCACCATAAGTGTTACTAGTAATCATTGTAAGTGATTAGTACTCTGTGTGTGTTTTGTGGTTGAGGTCTTTTAGTACTCTGAGGAAATCTATATGATTGTTTTGTCCTGTCACCTGTTTTCCTGTGTCACTTTCAAACCTAGTAATTAATTTGAATCTGGTAGTATGGAGAGGTCAGGACCTCAGCGGTAGGGAGCCCGTCTGAGGTTCATGAAAATAGGTGTTCAGGTGAGGAGTTACATAAAGTTAAGAAATAAGGTGTCCGCATGTCCCTCTACCCCATTTGGGTTTAGTGTTAGTTTGTTCTATTAAATGTCTCATAAGTGCTGTGGGAGAGGCCTTTTCCACACATGGGAGTAACTGCAGGTGCAGGGGACACCTTTTGAAAAGGTGGTTTGTTGAGGCCCAGCAGCAGCCTTTGAGGGCAGTGACGCTTTACTGTCTCCAGGCTCATGAGACAAGTGGCTTGGGACCTCAAATTTGGGTGACTTACTGGAAGAAGTTCAGTTTCTATTGGTCTTTACACAGCTGTGATAAGGACTGACCAGACTGTTATGAAGATAAGTGGTAATTTTTTAAAGTAGTGGTTAATGTGCTCCCTTTTTCTTGTTTAGGGTGTAGAATTGATGCAAACTTTCTGTTGTGGTTTCTATTTACAGCAAACCAGTGTTGTGACATTTCCCTTTTTGCAGGCTTAGTTTTTATGGACAGACTTCCCCTGTGAGGGCTTCTCCTTCTTATGTGACTAGTGAAGTTACAATCAGTTACAATCAGTAAGTTCAGTAGTTGAGTATTTTTGTGGGGGGTTGTTGTTTTCTTTTGGTTTTGGATAGGTGGGAGGGATTGAGGCTAAAATCTGTAGCCTTTTTTGACAGGCTACCTGCTCAATTGCACACTTGCGTCCAGTGGCTGTTCCTGTTATAAACAAGTGGTAAGGTGTTTGTCAAAAATGAATTTGTCCATGTTATGTTTCCAGTGTTTGTTTAATATTTATGGCCACTTTCAGTAGCTGTCTCTATCAAGCAGTGAATTGTTGGAAGGACATTGGCTTACAATTTTCAAATCTGTGCAATTCTGAATTTTACCTGAATAAAGTTAGCACAGCTTGGAGAGCAACTTCAGTGCTTAAAACTTACTAAACCAGATGTATCTTTCACTTGTCACATTCAAGTGTGTGTATAGGCAGCTGTTGTGCTTGTGACTTCCTGCAGTTACATTTGTGAGACTAATAAGCACCCATGCTAAAACTTGAAAGCAGTCCTCTCTTCTCTCTGAAGCTGTACTGCAAAATGCCATCTGTGAGGCTGATGCTGGAAAGCAGCAAGATGGCCAGCTGATAGATTTCACAGGGTGCTTTCTCAGCGTCAGTATTCACATAAGAACTTGAGGTTATCAAAACCAGTTAATCTTAATGGTCTCTTTGACTTGTGGTTCTAATGTGGTGGTTTCATCCTTCTGTCCTTTATGCGATCCAGTGGTATGTGTTGTTCACACTGAACTTTACCTTCCCTTCTGGGCTTCATATTTGTGATTAATTGGGCTAAATCTTCAAGTCAGGAATGTGCTTAGAAGTGCAAGTCTTAACCTAATTATGGGTGGAATGACTTATCCCCAAAGAATCTAATTTTCATTTAAGTACCCTGTTTCCTTCTCCAGACAAGACTTTGTCTCCTCCCTGAGGAGTGATGGGGATGCTGTCTGGAATGGCTGCAGGGGTAGTTGAGCCCAGGAGTCCTGCTTCTCTGGGGGTGGGCCTCAGTTGTCACTTATTTTTCCTGCTTTGATACTTGCTGAGCAAAGGAGGTCACAGCCCCCTTGGAGCAGCAGTGTGAGATAAAAGCCTTTGCTAGTAAAGGTAATTGTGCTGCAATGAAAGAGTTTAATTTCTATCACAGTGGGAGTAATGAAATCTTGATGTGATCTTAACACAGTAGTCAGCTTTTACTAATTTGATTTGTCCAACTTCCCTTATCTTGTTTCTGCTACCCATTCCTGGTCTTGCTATTTATTTGGAATTGTTTTTTTGCAGGCTGCCACCTACAGCTGTAGAGAGGAGGAATGCATTGGACACTTGTCTCCTGAAACCAGCATTTGAATCTTTACTGGGGTGAGTCTTTCATGAGAATTAAGGAGGGGAAGGAACAGTTGTGTTGATTGAGGTAGAGCTGGGCTGTTTACACATTTTGGAGCAAATACTGAGTAGTGCCCTGAGAAAGCTTGGGAAGATTAGACCAAGAACTGGCTGAAGGAGTCTTAAACCTCTGTACAAAGACACTGTGGCTTTTTTTTTTCTCTGGTGCTTTTTGTATGTAAGAAAATATGGCTATAATTTTAGTGCTGTTGTGGGTTTAAAGCACATAGAAGCCTGTAAACTTTGTGCCATCCAAAGCAGACTTGTACCCTTTGAGTTTTAGTTAGCTCCTGGGTCTGGTGATGTGATCCTAATTCCCTTGCCCATGGATTGTGCCCAGGCTGTGTGTTGGGTGCAGCAGAGTAGCTCTGGTGTTCAGCAGAGGGGCAGGAATGGGCTCCGAGGTACACAGGAAAAGAAGGTACATGCACAGCTAGGACAGTTTCACACATTCCTGTAACTTCTTTAGAGACAGTTTGCATGAGCTGAAGATCTGTTCTGTGCACTTCGGTAATAGCCTGGGGAGGTTGGAAGGATTTCTAACCTTGCAGAATTATTTATTGGCAAGGAACCAGAGCTAGAAAAGGATCTTTTCTCAGTAGGTAAATTATTTATTATGTCTAAGCTTAGCAGCTGTTTCTGGACAGCAAAGCAGGTTACTAAATTTGACATGGGTATTTAGTGCATCATGTCTCAAAGCTAGCTGGTCTTGCTTAGTTAAGCAATGGCACATTTCTTGGTGTGTGAGCTGTAGTGTTTTGGTTTTGGGTTTTTTTCCTTTTTTACTGTCAGTATCTTCTGAATAAATAGAACTTAAAGAATGAGATAGTTGATTTGGGAAACCGAAAGAGAAGGTTTTCTTAACAGCGTTTTATATTCTTAGTGGACAAACAAGTCATGTGCTGACTGGGGCTTTTTTTGATTATGCAGGATCATTACAAAGTCAACCAGTACACTGAGTGTGTGCTTAGTTAATTCAAAGGTGAAGCCAAGGGCATGGTAGCATGTGACATGTTTGTCTGCTGTTCACTCATTTGGGTGGACTTGGCACTAAGGCAGTAAGAGACCTCCTTTCCCTGCTATGAGAGACCCTTTTCCGTGGTTCCTGTCTTTCAAGAAAAGAAGTGGCCCATTCTTTTTAGCTCAACACAGGGTATAATGCCATCATGTTCTAGTTTGCAGGAAGAATGTGCTTGTGAGGCAAACCTCCTTGTGATCCCCACACTCTGTGCTTGTCTTCCCAGGGTGGCCCTGGTGTGGATGCTCTGGGATCCTTTCAGACATCTGCTAAAGCCAGGATATGCACTGCAGGAGCACAGCCCAGCATTTGCTGCAGCTGCTGAGGGCTGGGACCCTTCTAGAGTTAGTCCAGAATATAAAATACCCAAGATGCATGTAATGTGGACATGAGAACTCCATCCTTTTTTGCTGCTTGGATACACCCCTGTTGCCCCAAATGACTTACTAACGTCAACACAGTCATATAGTGTCACTTGTTTGGAATAGGAGTGCAGGAGATGCTATTTTCAATTTAAAACATCTTACTTCAAACCCTGTTCTTATTTATTAAATTGCTGTGTACAATAATAACTCTTACTTTTCCTTTCTACCTCTTACTATGTACTTTTCAAACCTGAAGTTATTCACTGTCTTCGTTATTCATTGTCTTCTTCAATATGTGATCTTGTGGTATAAGCTTTCAGTCACACAATTTTAATGAGTCTATATAAATTGTACAAACAGACAAATCTTTTATCTCACTTTGCCTATATTTTCTGTTACAAGATCTTACCCTTTTCCATCATCTGTTTGCTTTCCCTGTGTTCATGGATTTTTTTTCTTTTAAAAATGGGTGATAATGCAATAAAAATGCTAACAGTAAGATAAAGAGAGCTTTTTACAAAGCACTTGCATGACTTACTGGCTTATGCAGGTACATCATGCGATTTTGAAACTTCTTCCTTTTTTCCTTCATCAGTGTTGACAAAATATACCCATTCCTGTGCGCTAATGATTTTATCAGAGTGGCAGAGTTCCAAGGGAGCAATAAGTTTGAACTACCTTATGGAATAAAGAGAGCAGGTTTGTATTTCCCATGTACCTTATTTTTAATCAGAAATACCTAACTGGTTTTTAAAGCCACCTGAATCTGTGGCCATGATCTTTCCTGTGCACTGATGCTAATCCTTTTGGGGTGTCTAGTAGTGTCTTAATAGTTTTGTTCAGTCCCTCTGACCTGACACCTTCATATTTTTAACAAGTAAAACACTGGGTTGGGGTTGTCTCTTTTAGCAGAGAAGCTCCAGAAAGGTGTGAGTGAGGAAAAGTGGACCTTACTCACCTTCCTTCTGTTTGTATGTGGGCTGGAGTGCTAAAGATACTCAGCTATGATTTGCTGGGGGAAATACTGAGTCAGTGTGATGGGCTTCAATTAGCACACCTAAGCTGGTTGGAATCCAGAGTCCTACTGAGGCAGAAGTCCTCAGGTTTAGGTGGTTACATCAGTGAAATTTTCCTTTTGCTGTCCTGGTTTTGACTGGAATAGGGTTAATTTTCTTCTTAGCAGGTGGTACGGTGCTGTGTTTGGGATTCAGCATGAGAATAATGTTGACAACACATGGATGTTTTAATTGTTGCTGAGTAGAGCTTATTCTGAGTCAAGGACTTCTCAGTTTCCCATGCTCTGCCAGTGAGCAGGTGCACAGGAATCTGAAGGGAGGATTGCCAGGACAATTGACCCCAGCTGTAAAATGCCTGTTCTGTGCCACAGAACTTGTCAGTACTTAAACTGGCAGGGGATTGTCCATGAGAGGCTGGTTGCTCCCTGGGAACTGGCATCCCTCAATAGGTGGTGAGCAATTGCATTCGCATCACTTGTTTTTCTTGGGTGTTATTCCCCTGTATCTTTCCTTTTGCTTACAAATTTTACTTTTTTCTGTTTTCCCTGCCTGTCAAATGATGGAGACTGAGTGGCTGTGTGGCACTTAGTTGCCATCTAGGGCTAAACCATGACACTGAGCTGGCTGCTCCTGCTGTGGGAGGGGCCACAGGGGGGAATTGATGACATTGCCTGGCTGCTGGACCTGTGGGAAGGGAAAGGTTTGCTGGCACGTTCCCACTGCCCATGTTGGTCAGGCCACAGTAAATAGGGTTGATACCCTAAGAGCCTTAGCCACCCTTTTGGAAAGGGTGGTAAAGTCTCAAATTTCAGAGTTTCTAACACTAACAGTACACCTTCCTAATCTGGGCTTTAGATTTTTGATTTGCCCTCCATCAGTGGTAACAGAGATGGTGCATTTTCCTGTACTTTTGGGATTACAGTGAGGAAAACTACATTTGGGAATGAATTTCTCCTCTGAGGCAAATTAAGTGTCCAGCAGGAGCCTGCCCACCAGGGGTGGGCTGGGAAGGTGTCTCTGTCTAGCTTTGCCACACTGACTGTGTCTTCTCCAAAGATATGTAATGGTATTACTGTCCCTGGTTGTATGAACCCTCTTTAGTCAGCTGAAGGTGGGTAGAATTAAAACCAAAGTGAGTTAGAATGTGGATCTTGGAAATTCTTCCACTTCTTATTTACTGTAACTAAGATTTTTTTTTTTTTTTTTAATACAGATACCATGCTATTTTGTATTTTGAGGCAGAAAAAACTCAAGAGTGGAGCTGTGATAACCTCAGCTTCTTTGGCAGCATTGGTTGATCTGTGGCACTAAGTTCCAAGTGTTCTTACTTTGATGTTTTTATGCACAGTGTACAACTGTGTTTAAAAACATTGTGGTCAGGGTGGCATGCTTATTTTTGTATTGCAGATACTGAGTGTTTACATTAATCTTGTTTATATTTGCTTTTTAGAGCAGTTTTTTCGTTTAGCCCTTTCAAGACTGCAGAACTGTGGCTTTTCCAGTGAAGAAGACAGGTGAGATGGTTTATTTGCTACTGTTTCTGTTAGTTGTGTTTTTAATATTTAGTACTTACCTGAAAAGGAATGTCTGTGGGGTTACCCTGAAATTGCTGAAATTAGTCAAGACTTGTAGTTAGAGCAGACTTAGAGGGTCCAAGCAGTGTTTAGCTGATTCCAAGGTTTCAGTAGGCTTGGTTTTACACTTCAGTAGTTATCAGCATGCAAGGAAAATTATTCTGTGAATGAGCTTTAACTTAGAAATTTCCTTTTATAGGTGTTTTAGAAATTCGCCAGCTGAATGCAGTCCCATCTTCCTGTAGTATCTTTTCACACTTAGATTGAATGTGTCCTCCTCTTTCAAATTCACTGTAAGATGGAGAATGTTTGAGATAAGCAAGTGCAAACCACTGTCTGCTTTTAAGCAGAACAAATCTTGGGCATATCCCTGTACCTCTGATCCACTGGCTGCTGTGCACCCTTGTTCCTACATACACTCAACTTCATTTTCCTTGTGGATGAGGGAGACCTAGGAAGACAAGAAAGGCTGGCTGTCCTTTTGGGAGTAACAAGGGTGTGGCACGGAAGGGAACATGCCTTACATGACTTGCTTCCCATGGATTAGATAGATTAAATTAGGTTAAATCTTTAATTAGATTAAATCTCTCATTGGAAGCCACGTCTGTCAGGAGGTTTTGTTTTGTTCTAGAGGGCCTTTGTGTTTGTGTGTCTTGTTTTTTTGCTTGGCTTTTGTTGGGTTTTTTTGAAGGTAGGGTTGGCAAGTAGACTAAAGTCCTGTGTTTACAAAGTGATGCAAATGATTCCTTAGATTTACAGTCTAGCAAATGGGCTGACAGCCTGCCAGATGTGATGTTAATATACAGATTTCTTAGTAGAGTTGAATGCAAATAATGCTGAGCTTGGCTGTACTTGTTTTTGTTTTTTAATTACAGAGATCATGAAAGATTGCTGCTTGAAGCCAAATCTCAGGATCACAGTTTAATTTAACTTGGGTGGAATATGTTCAAACCTGAGGATTTGTTATAATACAGAATTTTTCTCTTTTTTCCCTACTCTACTCCTTCCTTTAGGATATTCAAGTTTACTCTTAAGAAAAGGAAGGAAAAAAGTAAAACTGTATTTTCTATCAAGGGTGTATAATGGGGTAAATTAATACAGAAGAGGCTGACAGAAACTGCTGTTTTGTCTGGAGTTTAAAGGAGAATGCCAAATGTTATATTAGAAATTCCCTGAAACTGTAAGTTCATGACTGTAATTGTTTGTGCTGTAAAGCAGAGATGCTTGTACCTTTTAAATGTAAATGCTTGTCCTGTAGAAGAAAAGTGAGGAAATTGGTATTCATCCTTTAAATGTAGATCCACTGAGATGTAAATATGGTTAGTAGTTCTGGGAAGTACGCTTCATTTTATTAAAAGTAACATACTTCAGTGGTACTGAAGCAAAATGACACCTATTACTATTTAATAGGCAGCAATATAAACAAATCAAGCAGGCAATGACTTCATAGAATATATTCTTTCCAGATCCATCAGGTTTTGTGTACAGCACTCTAAGGGCTTGAATCACTGTAGTCAGGAAGAGTTGTTATGCACATATTTCACTGAGATATAGTGGCTTTTAAAAGTGAAACTCTTTAGGAATTAATCCTAACAACGTTCTCCAGTAATACAGAATTATTAAGCAGCTTTGTAAGGCTGTTGTCCAATTCAGCCTTCTTGGCATAACACAAATCAGATTTCCCTGTAAACGTTTTTTAAGGCAGACAAGTATTAGGCTAGATAAGCACAAAGTCTGTGGTGCTTATATAGCTGTATTTGTGTACAACTTAGGTAAATCTGTACAGAGTTGTGGTTTTTTTTGTTTTTTTGTTTTTTTTTTTTCCCCAAGCAGTGTCATTTGTCAAACTAAGATCAAATTCTCACTTTGTAAAGGTGTAGCTCTCCCAGAGAGTTTGGAAATCAACAGTATCACTGACTTCAGTTCGATTGTGACTTCAATTCCTTGCTGAGTGCTCTAAGGACTCTGAGCTCAACAGTTCTTACAAACACATTTACACAGTACTGAGTCAACAAAATGTGACCTCTGCATCCTCTTTTCACCAAATAACCTCGAAGGAAATAATTTGCATTCCTCAAGTGACTACAGGGGTGTGTTAAAGGAGCGGAGTCTGAGATCTTTTCTTTTTCCAATGAAACAGTATTTCAGTGGAATATGGAGGATGCAAGTCTTCTGACCTTTAGCGGCTACATTTCCATTTAGCAATATTTTTCTTCTGTAGACTAGGAAAGTATTTCTTTTAGCATTTCACCATATAAACAAAATACTTAATCCGAGGCTTGGCCTTGAGATTGAGGCTCTTGTGCACCACCTGAATGGGGCAATGGTTTGAGTGACTACTGCCTGCAGACACTGGAGATCAGTTACCATGGTGTTTGCATTGGAATCTGTTTTTATTCTTGGTACATCTCTGACATATAAAGGCAATCCATTTCTCACTCAGACCTTTTCTACAGCTATTGGTACAGCCAACGTCTTAATATTTTTCACTGTCACAAATATGGTTCTACTAGACATCCAGACATTGGATATTGTATATACTGTTATATTTTAGTTGTAGCACAGCTGATGTTGTTTAAGGATATCTAAACTAATTTCTCTTCTTGTCAGTATATTGACTTGGAGAAAGAGTGCATGTTTGGGGTTGTTGAATTTGAAAACAGGAAAAGGAAATTGTTTAAGTATCTGGGAGTAACAGTCTGCTGAAAATCAGTGTGTTGACCTCTGATCTTCTGTAAGTACAGATCAGTTTATTTAACTTAAGAACCTTTAAATGCAGTTCAGCCTTGCTACATATGTTTTATCTCTATGTTGTATGTTCATTTTCTATGAGACTATGCTTTGATTTTTAACATAAACAGTTTCCCTCCCTGCTTGTTGTTGTTAGTTCGCTCAGTACTACTGTTTGTTTTTGTTTGTTTGACTGTACTTGTGTGCACTTCTTTGGGCATATTTGATCTGCTTGTTGACTTTACCCATTTCAAAAGTTCAAATACTTATTTTAGATTCTTTATTGGGTATGTGATGGCAGCTGCTAACTTTGTTTTTGAGTATGCATATTATAAAGGGCACTGTAATTCAAAAACTTAATCAAACTTCAAATTTCACTCTGTTTTCTCTCCAAGGAGTACTAGTCAACTCTTTAGTCATAAACAAAATCTAGTCTGCATTCATCAGTAAGAAAAAAAGTTGAATTTCACTTGAGAACGGCTCCACAACTTCTGTAGCTGAGCAAACCTTAGTTGCTCAGCTCTGAAGTCACATTTTATTTTGCCCTTCCTGCCCTGAGTGTGTGCAGCTGCATCATGACTAGAGAGAGGAGAAAGCAAAGACCTCTTAATTGTATATCAGAGTGAAAGGCATTGTTTCAATGGCTAGAGATTAGCTTGCTGGGCAAGTATCTTAAATCACCTCTTCCAAAAGTTGAAAGGTATGTAATAAGGAATTACTTTAAGCTCATCTACAGGGAACAGAAAAAGCAGTGCTGCCTCAAAGTAGATGCCAAGACACATGATAGAACCATATGCTAATCCTGTGCTTTTTGCCTCTCTCACTCACTCCACCTTCATCACTTACTGATCATATTTTTTCATCCAGTGTTCCCTTTTCCATTCTTACTTTGAGCTCTAAGCTATAGCTATGACCAACAAGGTGTAATTCAGGAAAAGGGCAACTTCTGCTTTCTTATTCCTGCTGCAAATTGTAAGAGGCATATGTTCATCAGCCTACTTTCTTAAGATACTTTTAAACTAGATAGAAAAATAAAATGGAAAATGAATGGGCAAAAGGAGTATAGAGGGAAGGGATTTAGGTGTGTAGTGGGAATGAGTGTACTGCAGACAGGATGGTATAACAGGTTTTCATCCCTCTAATTTTCAAGATACCTGGTCACATGAGTTATGGTATTAGCTGGAAGTAATTTAATGAATGCTTGCCTTCTACTAAGCTATTCAGGAAACAGGAGAGAAATGTATGCCAGCTTTTTTCATGTCACCCAACCTTGAAAGCTGCATTTAGAGCACTGGTTTTATTTATATATGTATATATATATGTATGTATGTGTGTGTGTTTATGCATATACATATGTATTTAAAGGCAGCTATCTTTGCAGATGTTGTTAATTCTGTAGGAATTTCAGTGAACTGCTTTGTCCATTGAGATGTTGCTCAGTCTTGGCTGGAACCAGCTGTTGATGTTGAATAATAACTCTGAGCTGAAAAAACAAATTGGACTATTTGAAGAGAAAGAAGTTAATTAGTCTGCATGAAGTGCCATGCTAGGAATTCAATATAAGTTGTAGTGTTTTTTGAGACACAGTTTTGGTGTCCTGAACCTGGAGCAAGAAGTGGTATAGAGCCTTTTTATTACTTGAAGAAAGAACTAAAGGAATGGGGTGTTACTGTGCAGTGATTCATATTTTCTCATTGTTCTTGCTGCAACCAAATTGAATGGCTTTTGCTCTAAACAAATAGGCATGTTTACAACAACAAAAAATTATGTGCTTATTCTGAAAGGAGTTTGCAGTCTTACATATTTGATTTAAACCTTTCCTAAAAAGGCAAAACATATTGAGTAAAAAAACCAGCAAGCCTGTTTGTGAGTTCCCCTCCTTTTTTTAAGCAAGTTTTGCTGGCATTGAACAAGATGGTAAAAGCTAAATATGTACTGAAAAACCTGTGATAACTTTGAAAATCTTATCCTTAGAATTTACTTTCATAAGTTTAACATCTCCATAATACCTATTTTGCATGCTTTTTATCTTTGAATGTATTGTAAATTGAAACTTTCCCTTTTGATTTGATGTAGTGTAAAATCTTATTTTTTAGCACATAGTATTTTATGTGCCTGGTAATGCTGTCTCATTTGAATCTGATAGGAGAATGCAACCTTTAAGGAAGGAACCCATCTTGTTACATTATGACAGTACACACATCATTTGTGTAAACATGTTTTGACAGCACCTTCTAAGTAAAGCTGTCATGTGTCATTGGGCTAAGATTTTTCACATTTACAGTTCATAGGCCTCTAAGGTGATTTGTGAACATAAATTTTGCTGCTTTTAGATTGTGTTGGAGATGTGGAGTTCTACAATACTGCAGAAGCACCTTAATGTTGAGTTAGCTTTTCCAGACTGGTACAAGCTTGAAGGACTGCAGCAAATAATTGATCAAATGGTATCCATATCATGAACTGGTTAGATGATCTGAAGCAGCAGACCTCTAGAAAAAGAAGTGTAAAAACAGTCTCACAAGAGAGAAGCCGATTACTGACTTTGTCAGTTCCTGAAATAGTGCTTTGGTGGTTTTTTTTTTTTTTTNATCTGTGGACACTTCATTTCCTGCTATGCTGCACTGTATAGCCATAATAGAATGCAAGTATTATGTGGTGGATGCACTTATTGTATTATCAGGCAGAAGTATGAGAGTTCTCTTTGATTTCTTAAATGCCGTGGTGTGGTGTTTTTTGTTTTTTTTTTTTTTTTTTTTTTTTTTTTTTTTTTTTTTTTTTTTTTTTTTTTTTTTTTTTTAAGCAGCTGTAGTACATGATACAGGATTGAATCTGCTTTGTAGGGGCCAAGGGCTACAAAAGATACAGGACCTCACATAGAAAATAAGCCAGTTAACATGCAGAAGTATCATAAATACTATGAAGCCAGGGAAGTCACAAATATCAAAACTTCTTTTTGTTCACAGCATTCCCTGTCGACGGTGCGTTGTGGTCGGTAATGGAGGAGTTCTTCGAAATAAGACATTAGGGGAGAAAATTGACTCATATGATGTCATAATAAGGTAAATGCTATCTCCTTTTCATTTTGTGTACATGGAGCAGAGGGTAATTCTCCAAGGCCAGGTACTGTCTCTGGCCTTCTCTAATGTGTTTCTGTGTGTGTGTGTGTTGGAGCCAAATGAGAAAATTTGCTTTGTCAAGTGACACATGATAAGCAATTGTGTGACTGTATTCTAAACCACCTTGGAAACATTCCCATGTGTGCTTGATCCCTCTGAGTTTAGAGGGTGAGTGCACCTGATAATTGCTCCTCTGCTGTGTAACATGATACGTAAAAGCTGGGCTGCTGAACTTTCCTGTACCTAGACACAGTGGGTATCCTGCAGACTAATAACAAGTATGGCAGCCACTGCACAGTAGGAACATAAGTAGGGCAGTCACTGATGTCTCTGTGCCTCTGTCCTCTGCAGAATGAATAATGGCCCTGTGATAGGGTATGAAGAGGATGTTGGGAGGAGGACGACTTTCCGCCTTTCTTATCCAGAATCTATCTTCTCAGATCCCATCCACTACGACCCCAATACCACTGTTGTACTCATCGTCTTCAAACCACAGGACTTGAAGTGGCTTTGGGAGATACTTGGTGGTCAGAAAATAGTGAGTTCAATTATTAATGTGCCTTGGCTCATCTTGCCACACATCTCTCCTGTGAAATACACATTTGATTTTAACTGTAGACCTCCCAGCTGAGAGGAGTTCTGGATCTCCTTGTAGTTAGTTTATTTAATATCCCTCTTCATAAATGCTTTGTCTTCTTTCTAATGCACGTATTTGATTAGTTCCTCACCACAAAGCAGTTTACTTTTGGGAAATGTATTTTTATCCTCTCCCTAGTATTGTTTGATATTTTAATGTGTGCTGCAGACATTTCACAGGTTATTTTACCCTGTGCACTTGCAGGAAATGCAGAATAATGTTAAAAGAGACCTCTCTCAAGCAGTCTTAAGTCCAAAATCTTTTTTAGTACTTTTCATTAAGGGCCAGGTTCAAAGACATACTGGATTCTCAGGGAACTCTCTGAGTAAATTTTGAGTATTTCCAAGGATATTTCTATAAACACTGTTTCAGTACTTCAGCACAATTGCAGGAGAAAATTTCTCCTCATCCTTTCACTGTGTGCCTCTGAGAAGAGTGTTATCTCATCTTTGTTAACCCCTTCCAGATAGTTGAAGATAGGCTGAACAAACCCAGCCTGCTCAGACCCTTTTTGTTTGCTGTGAGCTCTGGCCCCTTGGCTGTTGTAGTGACCTTCTGCTGTTTGACACTCTCCTGCACAGAGGGGAGCCCAACACAGCATTTTTGGGACTGCAGAAAGGGCACAGTGCAAAGCAGTTAAGAATGTCTGTGCTCTTACTAACATAGCCAGCACACAGTGAGCATTTGTGGCCTCTGGGGCATATTGTTGGTACGTGTTGTCCATCAGGGACCATTCTGCAAAGCTGTTTTCCAGCCAGCTGGACACAGCTGCAGCAGTGGGTTTCCTGTTGCAGGAGCAGGTGTTTTGGAACTTAGGGAGATTAAGCACTCTTCTTCTTCTTAACTTCATGCTCTTGGAGTTTATACTGGTTAGAGTTGCTATGAAACTAAATTCAGCTATTTTCGGTTGTTAAAAATGTGTATTTACTTGTCTGTCACAGAGCGCGAAGGGCTTTTGGAAGAAACCAGCTCTGAATATGATCTACAAATCGAGTCAAATCAGGATTCTTGATCCCAGCATCACCAGGAAAACTGCTTATGAGTGGCTTCATTTCCCAACAAGGTTTCCAAAGAAGGAGGTGCGCTTTTTCCTTTTGTCTCTTCTAGTTCTGTGCAACCAAATGTGTATTTAGAGGCAATTATATCTTTATTACAGTGGATTGTAATGTAGAAAACATTTTAGGTTTGCATTGAAATCGTTTGCCATTTAGATGGTGGTTTAAAAAGATGGGAAAATGGAGCCCAGAAAGAGTGGCTAGCCTTATGTGCCAAAAGTACCTTTTCATGGGTTCTGTAATTGGTATGAAATAAGACTGCTTTCTAGACAGACAAAATTCCTTTCACAAAACTGGGGAAGACAGTTAGGTAGTGCAGCATGACAGATCCAAAGTGCTTCTAGAAATAATAGGGAGTCTGGAACTACTGAATATTGGGTGTTTTTCCTAAAAAAAAGTAAAAAAAAATAAAGGCACACAAAATAACAAACAGAAAAAAAACCCTCCAACAAACAACGAAACCTCCACCAAAAACCAAAACACCAAAAATAACTTCACATCGAAGTCTCCCTTCCAAACCCCAGCAAACTGGTAATTTTAACTCTCTGCAATTTCATCCTCCTGGGGCTGGGGACGGACTAGGGAACACAGAAGATACTCCAGCCCTGTGCTAATGATGAATGTGTGGTGGCATGGTTGTGCTTATTGATTTGATGCCAAGCATTGTAATGAGCTAACCAGCAATTTGGGCATAAAAATACATTTTAATTGTCAGTTCTTTACAGAAAAATATTTTTGATGAAAGGTAAAGCGTCAAGCTGGGGACCTGCCTTGTGCAGTCAGGATCAGCTGTGTGCTGTTTTGCACAGAGGCAGTTAACCTGGGGTCACATCCCCACTTCACCAACACCACCCAAGTGACACATGTGGAAATGTCAACAGGCTGTCACTGTGGAGTATCTGCCACTATTTTTTTTCTGGTTTACTCTTTCTAATATTTAAGGGGGTGGTATGGGGTTAGGTTCTGTACCTCTTTCTAAAATTTCTGTCTGTTTTCTGAGCCTAATAATGCCTTTTTTCTCCCTTACCAACTCTCAAACGGGAATAGTCATTTTGGTATGTGCTTGCTTGGGCCTCTGGAATTTCAGGTTTCCAGTGAAGTGTGGCAAGAAAGCAGCATAGTAATTGGATGCCTGACATATCTCCTAAATGGTCACAGAACATGCATGGCCTCCATGGGTCCAGAAGTCCTTCCTGACTCTTCTGGGGCTCCCCTCTCAGTGGGAGTAGATGTTAAAAGCAGTGCTGTCAGTGACTCAGAGAGATGTGCATGGTGACAGCTGATACAGAGGCACAGGCCACTTGGTCATCTTTTGCTTCTCTCCTGCCTTTGAGTGCCCCTGCACAGAGCTAGGTTAGTGTCACCATGCCTGGAGTCCCCTTCTGCTACCTCCATATATATCTCCTACTATTGCATGCCAGGGGTTTTGCAGTTCCTCAGGCCTGTGCAGCAATGATCAATCTCAAACAAGTCCTTCCTCCCTTTTCCTCCCATCTTGTGGCTGGGAGCCTGTACATTTGCAGTGGCCCTGGCACAGCTTGGTTAAGCTGCAAGTCACACCAGGGGCTCTGTGGGTGGGAAGGTCTCACACCAGAGCCCTCTGTAGCACTGCTTGTCCCTGGGCAGGGCTGGTGCTGCCTTCACTGTCCTATGCTTCAGCCCCCTCTGCCTGCAGGACATGCCAGCAACCACTGTTGCATTTCCTGCTGTCCCTGCCTTTCCATTAAACCAGTCTCACGTTCCCAGTGAGCACATTACTGCACAGCCAGCAAGCATTTCTGATTGCTAGTAGAGCCAGGAATAAAACTGGATGTCTTGCCTCAGCACCACTAAACTCAGAAAGTGTAGTGGAGTCATTCCAGGGCTGTGCCTATTCTCATTAAACAGGCTGAAAATACTTACTTACAGGTGAAGGATATCTGGATATTGCATGAGAGTACATTTTAAAAGTAGTTGCTTGTAAATTATATTTTTGAGGTGAATTTTACGATAGCTACAGGTGAACAGAGCTAATTACAACCTGTGGTATTCATGATATTTCCAAATAGCACTAATCCTGGCAGGTAGCATTCCTGTCATAGTACTGGGGTCCTATTTAGTATGGATGTTGCAACAGAGTCACCACTAAGTTTATGATGTTGGGCCCCTAGGGCAGAAAGTTATTTTGCTGGCAGGAACCCTGGGCATAGTGAACATTTTAAGCAGATGCTATTTCTGGAATACTCCAAGAGTTGCATAAAGGTACCAAAAAATTTTCCCTAAAAGGCAATAATTCCTTTCTGTGATTTCAGTTAGGCTTGAAAGAGCTGAGAATAGTAACCTCTTCTTGGGGATTTTTTGTGTTGGCACAAAGAAATACATTGAGTGTATCTGCCTTTTCCATGCACAGAGTTGTCTAGTTCTGGTTTGTCTGCTTCTTTTTCAGAGAAAAAAACTGAGCCTTGGGGTCAGAGTTCAAAAAAAAAAGCCCATGATTTTGAGCTCTGTTTGAGGTTTGACTGCAGCTACCAAGAGTGTCTAATAGGTTATTTGGTCTCTGAGAAAAATCTTCCTTTAGCTGAGAAGGATATTGTTGCCTGAAAGTTTTGTCCATTTCTAGGGACACATTTTTACCTTAGCTTCATCTTGGTTAAATGAATGAGTTCATCTCTCTCTAAAAAAACTTGCCTCATTTACTTCCCCAGATCATATTAGCCTCTGCTGCTACTAAAGAAGTCATGTATCTGAACACAAGATTGGGCAGAAATTGCATGGAGTTCTTCCGTGCTTTTGTGAGAAAAGCTACCTTTTAGTTAGGTAAAAAGCTACCGTTTGGTTAGGTGCTCTTAATCTTGCACAATTAAAAGCTGTTTATGACATGCTCTTCATTTTACATTGCATTTACTTCTGAACTTATTGTAGGAAGAAATAATTTTATTTACAATTTCATTTCTTCTAATGGGGTTAGCAGGAGAAGGTCTAAAGCAAAGTTCTTTTGGAATTTCCCTGCTTTGAAGAAGTGCAAATTCAGTCAAATTTGTGTAGCCACAGTCTTCATGCTTTTTTTAGTTTTGTTGCTATGAAAATTTGGGCATATCATGTTCTTTTCATGTGAGTCTCCATCATCTAGCAACTTCTGAACACATCTCATAATTCAATAAAATTTGTGGAAATTGTAAATTGTTTTCCAGTATAGTGAAGCCTACCCAGTTTTATGAAAGTAGCTGAGCAGAGCAGTGGGGAGACCTTCCTGATACCTCTGTGGAGGGAAGGGCTACACTGTAGGCTCAGCCCTCACTAAAAACCAAGGAATTCCAGGAAGGCTGACATGACAGATGCCCCAGTCATAGGAAACCTGTGGGAGCAGTACCTTATTCCTTTAGAGACAGGAGGGGATCAACCTGTGAAACTAAACATCTGTAGAAGACCTAGGCTGCTTGATTTCCCTTGTCTCTGTTCTGAAGTTCACTGTTCCCATCAAGCTGCCAGGTATGTATGTGTGTGTTCTCTTTGTGTTTTGTTGCAGAAACCCAAGCATCCAACAACGGGGTTAATTGCCATTACGCTGGCATTTCATATATGCCATGAAGTCCACCTGGCAGGCTTCAAGTACGACTTCACTGACAGAAATAGCTCTTTGCACTACTATGGCAATGAAACCATGTCTCAGATGATGCAGGTGAGTAACACTTGTTTGTGCTGAGAGAAATAGAGCTGGTCACTGGGGAAGGCATTTCAATATAGATAGAGGTGTGGACTGCAGGTCAGAAGGTCCTCCCACCTTCTCCTGGTTCAGCTGCTTGTGAGTTAATGTTGCTTGAATCTCTTCTTGTCTGCTGTTGTTTCTGAAAATTGTAGATACTGATCTTTGTGTCCCTTTTGCTGTACCATATTCTGCAGTGTGTGCATGAGTTGTCCATTTGTGTGCTGTGCTCTGCTTTGCTGGTGTTTTCCTTAGGCTGCACAGCTCTTGTCCTAGAGATGTCTTTGTCGGCACCGTGAGCACATGAGCATTGTTGTTTCTGTTGATGTTCTCTTTTTCCTTTTCCTGCTGTACTGTATGTCGTAGCTGTCAGACTCCTTAAAAGGCAGAAAGAAGAGCAAAGGGGAATGCAAGGAGTTAGGACCTATGAACTTGTATATGTCTTGCATAGGAAAAGAACTGAATTTTGGAAACTCAAAAATAGAAAAGAAAAGCAGCTCTTGGAGGAGGGTAGGAAGAGAAGGAACTACTTCTAGGAGAGGGAAGGCATAACTCGGCAGGAGAAGGAGCAGCAAGGAGCCTGGAAAACATCAGGAATGCCTTCTCTTTCCTGCTGCTTTGCTAAGGCCATGCCTCTGTTTTCTTTTATGTCTCTGCTCTTGTATTCAGTTGTCTTCATCTCTGCATTTCAAGCAACCCCGTCTTAGCCCTTCACTGCAGTGTGAAGTTTTATTTGCCATTTGCCCAGAGCATATGAGTACCATTTTCCTCCTCTTCCATTTGCTGAAGAGGAAGGGTAGAGACAATGCCCATAGGAGCCTTTCATGTTTTTCTCAGAACTCCTAGATGCCTGCTATTCTGAGATAATTTTCCTCTGACACTGGGCTTGCCTTCCTTTGGAGTCTCCTTTCTGCAGGTGCTTTTCTGCAACATATACTAAGTTTAAGTAAGGCTGATCATTAGTTGAATAGACATCCATAAGTTTCCTAAGTTCTTGAAACTTAAAAAACCAAACTATTAAACAGAAAGGTTTCTTTTAGTTCTTTAGGACAATAAATTGCAAATACTATACTACATCTGTATAATCTTTTATGCAGTATACATATTATATTCATTTTAATTTACAGGATTCAGTGTCTTTAAGTAAATTTACTTACCTTGTGCTGCCCTCCACTAACCTTAGTGGTCTCCTATGTATCCAGAACCTGGATACAGCACAGAAGATGGGTTGCTTTGGGCTTGCTGAACCTAATTGGCAGGATGCATCTGAACACAATGCCTGATGTGCTTTTCAAGAGCCTGCTCTGAGCTTTGAGGAGTACTCATTTTCTTACTGCTTGTGCTGTAAATGTTCTTACACAGCTCTTGTTCTGAATAAGCAGGGCAAGGAGTTGGGAGAGTTAATAATGGAAGGATTTCTGTGAGACCACATTTCACCTGTTTGTATCACCAAAGGATCATCCTTTTTGGTTGTGTCCTTATGGAAATATCTAATCTAGTTTTGAGCATCTTGTTTTCTTGGGAAACTGTGCTAAGCCTTTGCTAAGAAATCTTTTACACAGACCTTTTCTGTTCTTATCATCTTCCAAGTATCACAGGTTATAGAAAGGATTAGCAAGTGATGCTGCTAGTTATAATTTGATTTTATAATTCATTTTATTATTCCCTCACATCTCTTTAGAATGAATACCACAACATCACTGCTGAGCAGAAATTTTTGAAGAAGCTTATAGACAAGAACTTTGTGGTCAATTTGACCTGAAAGCTGAATGGAAAATACAAAGAACAATCACTATTTTCAAGATTTGAAACATTTTAATTTTTTGTATGGCATTTTTATTTTTTAAGTGCAGCATAACTGTTTACTGTTTAAAGGAGCCCAGAAACCTCATCAAGGCAAAAGTGTCTAAGCCTGAGGATAATGGACTGTTGCAAACAGAGTTAACTGGATTTCTGTGAAGCTTTTTAATAGTGGGAAAACCATGAAGCTTTCAACTGAAAGTATCAGGGATATTTAAAAATGTGATGCACATCACTTACTTACCAGTGAAAACTCTTTCCAAATAATTAATTCTCTGGAATACTTTTGTTTCTGATGTTGTCCTCCGAAAGAGTTCCACTGTCAAGAGACTGAGATGACCAGTGGTCAGTCAGCAGGTAGATGTAGAGTCGTGACTACCTGTCTTGTTGTATGAAAACTGCTTTAAAACTATGCATCTAAATCATTACTGTGTGTTTTGGAGAAGGGGGAAACATACAGACTGTACAGGTTTTGTTCTGCCATACTCCTGAGAAGAGGATATCCACCTTCAGCCAAGCAGCCGCAGCTTCTGCACTGACCATTAACTCTGAGCTTCTGTCTGCCTTTACCGAAGGTGAAGAACCTTTGTGGAGATGTTGGTGTTGACAATGCTTGTGTTGTTCCCATTTTATGGAAAAATCATACTCCCTGTGCTGTGCATCCAGTAAATTTTACAGTTGCTGACTTGACTTAAAAAAGAGGGGATATGAAGACTGAAGAGCTGCATGTCATCCCCCAGACTACAACAGAAACAGTAGCTTGGACAGAGATGTTCATGCCTGAGTTTAGAGTCAATGTGTGTTGGAGTACTAGTTCTCCATGACAGCATCTCATGTATTTTTTTTGCTTGCTCCTCAAGAACGGGTGTATTTTTCCAAATGAGGATAATCTCCTTCCTCAGATGCGGTAATGCATCAATACAAGCAAGGAGTGTTCCCATTTTTGGCAGTAGAGTGTGGTAGGGAATATCCAGGATGTACCCTCAGCTGAATTATCATTTGGCATCTGTTTACCTCTTCTGTGTTGATATTTAAGTTTTAAGTGTGTGGCTGAACTAAATAATTTAGCAATGGTAACTTACTCAAGATTTTAGTGGAAACATTTAATGAGGTATTTATATTTCCTGTGTTGGTTTGTCTCTGACAGGCCTGTGAATAAAATTAAATTTGCTTGGGAAGATGATTGACAGCTGTCAAAGAACAACAATATGCAGTCCCAATATCTCACATGACATCTATATAAAATTTTTATTTTAATTATGGCAGAATTTCTGGAAGATTTTGTGGTTATCTTCATCACTCAAACCTGAAGAAAGCACAAATAAGTCAATATAAAAAAGTCTTTGAAGTTGGTAGGAATACCGTTGTTGGTTTTAAATAAAATTATATAGCGAGGACGTTCAGAAGTAATGCAAACAATCACAATCTGAACATAAACCATGTTATTTGTTATTTTCAGAAGGTGAGGATTGCAAGAGTACTAAACACAATTTCTTTATTTTGCTGTAGCTATGTAGAGGAATTGCAGTTCAGGAGTTAGGGGGAGCACAGTGTGGTCTGGAGAGGTGCCACAGCTGAAGGGGAGGAGGCTTGTGTTTTCACCCAGTGATTCCTGAGCTTTGTTTTGTTTCAGGCAAGCTGGACATACCTGAAATAACTTGAGAGATCAGAAAAATCTGTGGCATGGGCTGGGGAAGGATATCCCAGCAAGGGACAGGGTGTGCCATGGTGTCTTGTCTGCTGCATGTCGCTTGGCTGCAGCTGCACTCCAGCTGTGTGCAGGGTGGCAGATGGGGATGAGGAGGAGAGGAGAGTGTGTCCCCAGGTCCTGGGATGCTGGAACAGGTGACACTGGTGGTGACAATGGAGGAAATCACAATTTCTTCACCAACTGGCAGAAGGGCTCTTAATTTTTTGTATTTCCTTTATTTTTTCCTGAGATTTTGAAGAGATCTTTGCTTGAAAATCTCAGTACAAACAGGTGGGGTTTCACTTAAGAAAATAGTGACAGTATTGTCTTTGTGCCTCTACCAGCATTTATTTCTCCTGGTAATTTCAGTTAATTAAAAAGGTTTGTATGTGATTCTGCAGCCCCAGACCTACAGTGATTTTAACTCCTGACAATAGTAATTCCACTGCGCAAGCTGCTGTGGCAGGGATTTTTGCAGACATAGCAGATTTCTCCAAGCTGTTGTGGAGGAACCCCATGTAGATCTTAGACTCTGGTGAGAGCCAAGGCCAGCAGAAGTTGGGGGCTTGCTCTTCACCGTCAAAATGTGACGTTGCTTCCAGAGCTGGGGCCCCTGGCTCTCCCAATGGCTGTTGCTGTGGTCTAGCTACATCCATGTAACATCTTGCAGGATGCTGTCCAGGAGGATTTTTTTCCAGGAGAGCTGTTGAATTTGTGCCAGACACTGTGAGGAGAGTTCTTGTGGAACAGGCTGCATCCCTCTGCTTCTCCACCTCTTTCTCCAGTTCCAGGAAGTGGGTAGGGAACTCTGCTTTTGAAGATGTGGTTATTTTCTCATTTATTTATTTTTTCATCTCCAGAGATACTCCTTCCACTAATCTAAACTGATCCTTTCTCCATTTTTTTCTAGTAGGTATTCCGCTTTTTTGGGGAAGATGGGATTTGGATTCTAGCTGTAGCAGAACAAATAATAATTAAAAAAAAAAAAAAAAAGCAGCTTCTTGTCAAAGAAATGGTGTCTCCCAAACTCTTTGTACTTAAAAAAAAAAATCCATTTAGTCTTCTTCACTTTTGCCACATCAACTTTTTAATCTCCCTAAAATATTTTTTTTAAATAATGTTTGGTGTTCTCAATGAATTGAATATGTTCTCTACAAGCATTTATCCATATCAGCTGTTTATTTTTATATCCTAATAAGCCTTCTCATGGTATGGCTGACTTTTCAAATAAAGCAGTATTTCAAGGATATTTTTCTCCCACTTCTATGCTCCTGCCAGAGGTGTTGAGTCCCCCACAGTTATTGTCCCTGAGTGAGTGGGTAACATTTTGAAAGAAACCTGTTCCCTCAGGATCAAGCCAAGAGCTGATGCTGCTGATAAACTATGGAGTATTTGTATTGGATGCTTGTTGTTGTTGTTTGTATGTTTGTTCCTTTGTTTGTTTGGGTGGGGTTTTTTTGGTTTGGTTGTTTTTTTTTAAGCCCAGCTGCAGGCCAGTAGCTTTTTTCTATAGTAAGCAGTGGGCTTACTATAGAATTTTTCTCCCCACAAGATGTTTTGTAGGATCCTGCGTCCACCAGCCCTGTTCCAGCACCTGCTTCATGTACATCATTCCTGCTACTCTGCCTCGAGGACAGGTCTTGCTTTGAACTTCTTTCAGGCAGGAACACCCATGTGTAGTGTGTTTCTCAGCAGTGCTCACAGATAGTGTTTCTTCTATCTGGGCACACATTTTCACAGGTGTTTTGCAGTACCAAAGACTTAACTTGGGGCTTTTGGAATAAAACAATTGTGCTAACACCAAATATTTAGATAGTTTCTGAGCCTGAGCTGCTATTAAGACTTTTTTTACCTTTTTGCCATTCCTGAAAATGAAATCGGCACTGAAACTTCCCTTTAAAAGCTATCCAAGTTTTTTTTATTTATTATCAGGAATGAAGCCACCAGTTTTGAATCCCAGGGAGCTGCCAGCTTTATTTCTGTGTCTGATAATGATGTAACTGTGTAGGTCCCCAGTGTCTCCCATCATTTTTCTATCTGAAGTTAGATGTTCTCCTTCCTCCCTTCTTATTCTGTTCCTGTTATTGGGCAGCCTGCAGAATTTCTGGACATCACCTTACAGCAAAGGTGCTTCTGCATTTTATCTGCCACCCCTCTCAAAATGCTGCACCGTCAAACAGACATAGCTCTAAGATACCAAACTATGCACAGAACAGGCAGGATGACATATGCTGGCTGAAAGCTCTGTTTGGCTCAGACTTCCAGGAGGTTTCTTTGTTGGGAAACTCTTTTTTCCTCTGCTGTAATAATTAAGGGAAGTCACAGACTATTGCACTAAATACGAATCTGAGAGTGCCTAAAAGATGTTACTAAATGACATTTCCAGTGACTGTATAGGTGATAATAATACAGAATCACAACTTTGATGTTTAATTAGCATGTGGTACTTCTTGTTTCCAGTACTTTCCTTTTTAGCAATGCTCTGGGGAGAGTATAAATACCTTCACTTTGAACTGGACTCTGATTTTTAAGAACATACAGAAGCTTAGCATATGTTTATGGTTTTGGGAAATACTTATTTTAGTTGCCATTTGTCTTATGTTTTATATGCCTTTAAAGTGCCACCTGTATTTTGAAGAATTCTTCAAGTTGTTTCAAATGAAATTTTGAATACTACATATGGAAGGAGATTATTTTCCTGTAAATAAACTGTTAAAGACAGTGTCCTCAGACTTATTTTTGCAAGGTTGGTGCTCTGCGTGTGAGTGTGGTGTGTGGGTATGCCCAGGGCTGTTATTATTCGTGTGCCAGATAAATGCTGTTGTCAGATATGGTATCGAGTTTTGGAACAAACTTTAGTGCTTTATAGAGCAAACAGCTGAAAGTTTTTGAACCTAGGTGGGCTAAGTTGTACTGTAGCTAGAGATCTAACTCTAGGCTGAGTTCAGCCAGAGCTGGGACATGTTTTTTGTGGGTAAGATCAAGAGCAGCATCCTTGTGATTTGAATTTTTCATTGTTTTTTGAATCTTGCTTGTCTTACTGTGGACTGTTGGGGGAATGCTAAAATAAGAGACCTAGAACGAAGAAGATGGTGTTTGATTAAAACATTTCAGAAAGTGAAAATGGCTTGAGATAGATAGAAAGTGAGAGATGCTGAGTGCAGTATTTAGCTAATTACTTGTTTTTCCTTTGTGCAGTAAAAATAAGATGCTGAGGGCTTCAGGGAGTCCAAGGGAAATTTAGGTAACAATTCTCTGGCACAGTAAGTATTCAGTGCATTCTGTATTCAGTATGGATAGTTCAGGAGTTCACCACCTTGGACGAAATGCTTGCCTTTGAGGTGAGGTGGGGAAGCCACATCAGGAGAACCAGCACCTCTCATCCTGGGCAGACAGTTCTGCCTCTTAAGGCAATACAAGCCCTTAGCAGCAGCCTCCGATTCCTTGGCTGCCTGTCTGCCTTCTTCAGCTGCACTCCCATTCTGGCTCATGCTGAGCAGTATCTGTCCCCAGGGGCTGCCTGAGGGAGCCCCTCCCTCTTCGTGTACCCACCAGACACTGCTGTGCCCTCCCACCAAATGGGACCTGTTCCCTCTCTGGCTTAGAGCATGTTTTGCCAGGAGATGGGAACTAGAGAAAAGGGTGTATTTCTTAATTTTTCCCCCCTATATCAGGCTGTCAGTGGTTTCAGAGAGCCCTTGTGGTCTGAAAATGAGTCACCAGGATGAATGTTCCTTCTGATAGTTCTGAATGAAGACAGAATTGGTTTTTGGTTTTATTCTTAAAGATATTTAATAAGGTGTTTCTTTCAAATCAGTACAAAAATTTTAAATACAAAATTATTTGCTTTTGACATATCTCATATATTCTGGGAACATACTGAAGTCACCAGTGTCTGGTAAACTGTCCATCCATTCCTTCCACTGTTCCATGAAATTTCTGAGATAAAGCACCACATTATATTACTGGAGTCCTTAGTCAATGTTAGACTGCATTAAACTCTGCATTTAAATAATGGTAATGCCAGTTAAATCCAATCTTAGTTCTGCATGAGAAAATCTAGGTAATTTTTGAATCAAAAGCAGTAGCAGTAGCTAAAGACATGGAAGAAGTGATGAGCACTTAACTCCTTGAACTAGCGCAGCCTTGTGTGATGTGCAGCACTGTACAGGGAACCACAGCAAAGGCCACTGCCCTCTGGAAACAGAACACTTGCTGAGGTGAGATTAGCACCGTTGATGAGCAGAGACTCCGCACACAGAAGTCGCTGTCCTCAAGTACAGAAAAGTATTGAGGCCTGCAGGTTCTCCTTGACAACTGGTAACATATAAATAAGGATTGGAAATCAGCTTTTAGATAGAACCAAGTTCTCAGATAAATTTGTATGATCAGTATTGCCAGAAAAGTTATTGGTGGATCTCAAGCAACAAATCAGTTAAGCAAACAGAGCTGCTTCTGCTTTGCCTAGTCATTGAAGAGCAAACTGATTGAGCTTTTGCTGAGTGGCAGAATAGGTGTCTCTTCTAACAAGCCAAATGGGTTCTTGGTACAAGCACAGAAATCCAAGCAGATTTATGCCACCCTGAAGTATTGCCATGTGTTGGCCAAAAAGTCTCAAAGACTTGGCAGAAGTAAATCAGGGAGATTGACCTCATCTACTTGAGCTGTGTGAATAGAGAATGGAGGCTTTTCAAGTGCTGTGTCATTTGGAGGTGAAACCAATGTCTGCTGAAGTTTGTGGTGACATTTTAGGTCCAATGACTGCTGGAGAAGGCTCAGGGGGAATGGTCATGCCATCAGGATTCCTCTTCCATCATAAATAAATTGTTCAGGAAAAAAACACACCTGCAGGATTATTTTACTATAGGAGAAGTGAAATACAAGTCTCCAGTTAAGTGAACCCTTGCTTGTCAGGCAGACCTGCTGTAAAAAAACCAAGAAAAACCCCCCACCCAGACAAATACGCCACTCAATTTTTTAAAATATAATTAGAGTCTGACCTACTCTGCTTTAAGTCACTGTTTTTCATCTTATAACTATGATCAATGCAACAGGAGTGAGTGAAATACACAGATTTGAACTTTAGTACTGAATTACTGTGAATGAAATTAAGTAAGCATGGCATTGCAGAAATATATAATGTACAGCTAATATGTCCCCCTTGGGTGCAAAACAACTGTTTATGAACCTGATCCTGATACACTTCTTTAGTTATGTTCACCATACCTTTTTTTTATATAACTAGCTGTGCATAATGTTAAACGTTGTATTATTTTTTTATTTTTGTACAAGATGGTCCAAAATGGTCATAAAATGCGTCTTTTGTTGTATAAAAGTTTGAAGCAGAGGATATAGGTTTTGATTTTGTGTGTGTGTTGTGTGTGTCTGTTTTGTTTTACATGGGATACAATAAATACCCTGAAAAAGACGAATGAACGTACTGCCCAGCATAGAGTCCTGCCGCTTGCTCGGATGGCATCTGAACGTAAACCTTGTCTCCGTGCATCAGCTGCACCACGGCACTGCCCGAAGCCTGGTCCAGGAAGCCCTTCTTGTACTCGTCGTAGGTGTACATGAGCGGCTCGTTGTTCTTGTACAGCGCCACCCACACGTTGGTGCCTTTACAGTGGACATGGTAGGCGAAGTAGTAGACGCCGGGGATCTCGCAGGTGAAGATGCCAGTCTGAGGGTTGTAGTTCTGCCGGCCGTTGTACAGGAGCTTGTCGAACTTGACGGGCACCCCGACGCGGGGGAAGGGAGTGAGGAGCTCTGCCGTGAACGCGGGCATCTCGTAGACAATGCCGCCAGCCTTGCCTTTCTTGCCCTTGTAGCCGTAGGGGGACTTCAAGCCTTCTATCCCTGGCCCCACCTCAGGCAAGTACTGTCCCACGGCTGGTGGAGTGGGCGGGATGATGACCGGGGGACCTGGGGGCCCGGGCGGGCCCGGTGGCCCCTGGAGCCCTGGCTGGCCGGGAGGACCGAGCGCCCCAGGCTTTCCCGGGGGTCCCTGCAGCCCCGCGGCACCAGGTTTGCCTACCCCCGGGAAGCCGGGGGGGCCGGGCATGCCTGGCTCGCCCTTCGCCCCTGGCAGCCCAGGGGAGCCGATGGGACCGCTTGGTCCCGCAATGCCCGGGATGCCCGAGGGGCCCTGAAGCCCCTGGGCACCGGGGAGCCCGGGCTCACCCTTCGGTCCCACAAGTCCCGGGACACCCGGCAGCCCCGGCAAGCCTTTCTGTCCGGCCTCCCCCTTGGGTCCTGTGGGGCCCGGCAGCCCCCGCAGCCCAGGGCCACCCACTTCCCCAGGAAAGCCTGGCTTTCCTGGAAAACCCTGCATGCCGGGTTCCCCCTTGGGGCCGACTGGTCCTGGTGGCCCTACGGCACCCCCCTCCCCTTTAGGTCCTGGGAAACCGGCGGCCCCCGGGGGGCCCATGATGCCCGGCAGGCCTGGCTGGCCGGGCTCCCCTGGTGGCCCTCCCATGCCAGGTGGCCCCGCGTGCCCCTTCTCCCCCTTCGGCCCCAGGGGCCCGGGCAGACCGCCCACACCTCGCTCCCCTTTGGGCCCGGGGAAGCCCGGCTTCCCAACTCCGGGGAGGCCGGGGGGCCCCGGCAGGCCCGGCAATCCCTGTTCCCCTTTGCCACCTGGGAAGCCGGGCTGGCCGGGTATGCCGTCCTGGCCTGGTTTGCCAATGCCAGGCGAGCCGGGAGGGCCTTGGATCCCGGGGGCCCCTGGAGGCCCCTGCAGCCCTAACTCTCCTGGGGGTCCGGGTTTTCCCAGCGGTCCCTGTGGGCCAGGGAAGCCAACCATGCCGGGTTTGCCAACCCCCGGCAGCCCCACGGGGCCAGGGGGACCAGGCAGCCCAGGTGGACCCTTCAGACCTGGCAAACCTGGGATCCCAACCCCCTTCTCCCCTTTTGGCCCTGGGATCCCAGGGATTCCCGGTGGCCCCTTCATCCCAGGCTCACCCTTTGGCCCTGGTTGCCCCTGCAGCCCCGGAGCACCCGCCTTTCCTATGCCAGGAAGCCCATGAGGCCCTGGTGGTCCCTGTGGTCCGGGTATCCCCATGGGCCCAATCTCCCCCTTCGGCCCCATCTCCCCTCTTGGCCCTGGGGGCCCCATGATCCCCGGTTTTCCTGGCATCCCTGGCAAACCCGGCTTCCCAATTCCTGGGTATCCTTGTGGGCCTGGTTTTCCTTTGGCTCCTGGCACACCATGACCTGGTAATCCTGGTGGCCCTGGTGGCCCTCTTGGTCCAGGCTCACCTGGGGGGCCTTGTTCACCCCTCAGACTGCGCATGGGAATTTCTGGATCAGGAAGAAAAGAAGAAAGGGGAGAGAGAGATAAAAGGTGAGTGCAGTCACATTTTTCAAAAAAACAGGCAGTTTTGAATTGAATATGCTTTTTATGATGCCTCGTGGTGTAGTGGTAGACAGAGACAGCTACTGAGTTACAGGTTGGTATTGAGAATGAAGAGGATATTACTACTGTTTTTCATACTCCAAACTTCCATGTATGCTTCTGCTTCCACAAAGTAATTACTGTGCATCATATATAAAAGCCATTTGGGCTTTGGTGGTGTTTTCTACCTATACAATCTTAAACACCAAAATCTGCATTTTGTCCCATGTTGCTGTAGATCAATCTACCTGTAGGAGTTTTTGCAGGAAACTCGGTACTCTCGTGCTGTGGGAGGAATCCTGGCATAAAAGTGCTTTATCTGGAG